GGACCACTTGGCTGATCTTGGTCATGTGCACAAAATTAGCTTAATAATTAAAATTAACAAAAATTTTGGATTTCCCCTTTTCTACTGACCGCCTCCCATATATTTATAAAATTAATTTAAAAAAAATATTAATTATTTATAAAAGTATCAGAAGAGAATTTATAGTAAATAAGCAGGCAAATTTGTCTGCAAAATCCTACAATTTAAGGGATAAATAAATACATGCCTGATAAATAATTTACTATAATTATTGATTATTTTTATACCACTTTTATTGCTTTGAAAAAAAAAGAAAAGTAGTTTGTACTTCAAATTTTTAACCTTTGGTGGTTACCTTTTTCTAATTAAAAATTATCATAATGGTCTAGGTATCAATTTTCTGGATTTTAATTATTTTATTTAAAGTCAATCAATCCCTTTTATATAATTGATCGGCCAATCACGTAAAAATCCTCATATAAGAAATCGATTGTTGCATTTACATCGTAAGCATCGAAAGAAAAAAAAATCCTTCACATTTTTGTAAAAAAGCAATATGAGTGGACCTAGAGGCTCAAACGTTGTCTTTGGTGAATACCTTTTTTATTTTATTTTATTTTATTTAAATAATCACCTTTAGAATATATTAAACCTCAACAATTTTACGTTGCGTTTAGTTGGGAACATTCCATATGAACTTACGGAAGAGCAGTTAACCGATGTATTTAAAGAAGTTGGGCCAGTATTGTCTTTTCGGTTGGTTTCAACATAAGCTTTTAAACAATACAATTATTATAACCTTTTAGCAAAGATTAATAACGTGTTCATCTTTAATGTATAATTAGTCTTGTTTTCGATCGAGATACGGGGAGACCTCGAGGATATGGTTTTTGCGAGTATCATGGTACGGGAATTTTTCTCTAATTGATTCATCAAGTTATGATTTATTGAATTTAAAACCATCTATTAAAATATAATTAAATCAAAAAGATTCCGAGACCGCAGCAAGTGCTGTACGTAACCTGAATAATGTAGAGGTTGGCGGGAGACAACTGAGAGTTGATTATGCCGACGGTGATCCTGCAGCTTCTTCTACATCAGTTCCACCAGTCGAAAGACCGATAATTGAACAACAACAACAACCATTACGACAACCACAAACCCAACAACCGACACAACAACCAGCACCATATCCAACACCGCCGAAACAACCTCAAATTGTTTCGCCACCAACTACTATAACACAACAACCGATATCACAAACCGCTATAGAAAATCTCTCTCAAGCTGAACAAAACTCAATGAACCAAGCTCAGCTACTTGAGATTTTGTCAACAATGAAGGTAATTTTTGTTTTTAAAAAATATTTTTCGATCTGATTTGTAAGATTCATGGGCTTATAGTAAAGAAAAAAATTCTTTCCTTAATTAGTTGTATATTCAAACACATTATGAACAAGCTCGTATATTGTTGACGCAAAATCCTCAATTATCATATTCGTTATTTCAAATAATGGTTCAGCTAAACCTCATTGATCCATCAATATTATCGGTTCGTTTTCAAATATAAAAAAATTTTGTTGTTTTTTTTTTTTTTTTCCTTTCTGTAAACTTAATTGTCTTTATCATATTTTAGAGTCTATTGGTTCAGAACGCACCACAGCAACAGAATCAACCCACACCTGTACAAAGTACTAGCCAAGTAGTTGGTGGTGTTAATTTTGGTCTTCCAAACGCCCCCAACGTTCCCCCGGCGCCCGTTGCACCACAGCATCAACAACCGCAGCATCAGCAACCGCAGCATCAACAACCACATCAACAACCACAGCATCAACATCAACAACCGCAGCATCAACCACCACCACATCAACCACCACCACCACAGCAACAACAGCCACCACCTATGTATGGTGGAATGCCGCAACAACCGCAGCCGATGATGCAGCAATTGCAACCACCTATGCAGCAGCAGCAGCAGCAGCCTCAGCAGCAACAGATACAACCTTCTCCCATGCAACCACCTATGCAACAACCACCACCTATACAACAGTCCATTCCACAACCTTTACAACAAACAATACAACAATCAATGGGTATGCCAGGAATGCTATCCGTTATGAGCAATGCCGGAACTCCAACGTCATACGTTGGAAATGTTAACATAAGTAAATATAATTTCAATTTCGCGCTCAAAAGTTCATAAGAAATTAATTTTAACCTTTACTACAAATTCTCTTTTTCTATATTCATAGATGATTTACAAATGACAGAAGCAAATCAGAAGGTCTGTAAATTGAAAATTAATTAAATTTTTTTTTATTAATGATAGTAATAATCTCTTTTTTTTCTGTATAATTTTATTCGTTTAGCTTCTTTTGCAAGTACTTAATCTTCCACAACAGCAAATCGATTCGTTATCGCCTGAACAGCGAAATAGCTTAATCGCGTTGGTATGTTGAAGAGGAAAATGATGAATTTGAATTAATCATTAAAAATTTATGTAAATCATAATTAATATAATTTATCTTTTATTTCAATAGAAACAACAACTTTTGCTTCAAACTAGACAAACGTAAGTGAAACAATAATTAATGGATATTTTATATATATATATATATATATATATATTTTAAAAAAAAAAGAAAAAGATTTTAAGATCAATAATAATAGACGATAGAGTTGATTTATTGTAATTTTGGCGTAATTTATAAAAGAAAAAAAAACAGATTAATTTAACACAATTTCTTAATAATACAATAGTAATTATACTTCAGAATTTTTATATACAAGATTTAATGGACTTTTGGAATAATTAATAGCGCGTTAATTTCATAATTTGTCTTTTTTTTAATGCTAATGTTAATTAAAATATCAAATGGAATATTGGAATGGAAAATCACTAGATTATTTAAATAGATTTTCAAAATTAACCGTATCTGAATCCAACACCGAATCCAATCATAAAGCTAGCATCGGTTTGAAAATTTCTACCGAAAAATTCAACAACTTTAAAAAAGATTAATTTCAAATCATTCGTAGTGACTTTGCCATCTTCGTCCAAATCTAATACTTTATTGTAATTTTCTTCAAATTTACTCCAATCAATTTTGATATAACCTTGCTGTTCTAAGATTTGTAAGAATACGAATGTAGCTCCTACTAAAACTGCTGCCGTTTTTGATACTTCTTTGACAAAATAACCTGATGCAAATCCCATTGAAGCACCAAATGTTATTTGTTGAGCATTGAAGGAATCAAATGGGGAAAAGGTTGATTTATCTGGTTTATCAGTTGTTGAGGAAGGAGATGAAAAGTTTTCTTTTGTTTCTTTTGTTGTTGTTGATTGGGGAATTGTGGGAGAAGTTTGAGGAGATGAAGGTAAAGTTATCTCGGAAACAATTTCTAAAAATGAAATTTGATTAATTTCATCATTTGAAAATCAAAGAATTTAAATTTTTATCTTACCTGTACAATAAATTGCTTTTCTTATACCAAAAATATAATGAGAGCCAGCTAAACCGATAGACAATGAGAATCCATGAGATAAACCAGTTGGAAAAGCCAAACTTCCATCATACAACTTATTCTTTAGAAAACGATAAGGACCTAGACCAGCTATTTGTTTAGCAGAAAGTTTTTGACTTGAAATCGTAGCTATAGTTGAATTTCTCCTAAAAGATGAATTATCTAATAGATAAAAAGCAAATACATAAATAAATAAATATAAATATATATATAAAATGAAAAATTGCCCTTTAAAATACCTCTTATTATTCTTGCAATACCCGATTTTGTGCGCGAGGTATAAAGTGACGGGTGAAAACTAAAAGAAACACGTAAAGTTCCAATTAAACTAACAGGTGTTTGATTCATTGAATAAAAAGAGAGAATAAAAAGATTTCCCAATTAGAAATCATATGAATTTTAACGTTTTTGTGTTTGTAACACATTACGGTCATTAAATACTACTAACTTTATAAACAACAAAAATATGAAATGATAAACCATGACATGACAAATAGCACACGTTAAATAAAAAATTTTTGAAATTTAAAAACGGAACGTTAATTAATAACGACATGACACAACAAGACAACCTGTTTCAAAGTTTAGGAAACGACTTTAAAATGAAATTCGAAAGGTATTTCCTAAGCAAAGAATTTATGAAAAATGCTCAGCAAATTATTAAACGTTCTTCATAATAGTTATTTAAGCTACGCGGAAAAATTATTTCATGAGTATCAAGTTTTTACGAAAAGCCATCCTTTTCTTGGGGTAAATAACAAACAAAATCAAAAAAAAAATAATTTATTTAACATTGATCTAATCCTATCAAATGAATTTGTAGCTTTTCATTGCGATATTCGTCATTTTCGCAATTTTGCCTGTATTATGTTTTGTTATTTTCTCGTTATTCGCCACAGTTTTAACTTTGGGCGGAGCAATATGCATCGGATTGTTTATTTGGTTAACCCTTCTCGGTATATCTGGTACGTCCCAATTCTTTCATTTTCATTTTTTTTTTTTAATGAACTTTTACCAACTCTTTAATAACTCTCTTTAAAATAGGATTCGTTTTTTTGATTGCAATTATTTGTGTTTTCTTTATGGCTTGTGTCACATTCTTCTGGGTCGCTCTTGCAGCATTAATTACTAGGGTAATTTTTAAGTATATGGATGAATATGAATTATTCAATACTAACAATATTACTAATGATACTGAAATCGAGGTAAATGACAAATGAATTTAAAATTCAAATTATTAATTGACTTGTATTATTATAATATATACTGCGTATATATATATTTTCATTTGTATATAATTATTAATTCTCAAAAGCATATGTTAATTAAAATCATCATGTCTCGTAATAAATCTTGTTAAGATTTCATGATAAAAACGCGTGAATTCAATTATATAATCCTTCTGTAATGAATTAATGGCGAGTCAAAGCCAACCAGGTGTCGCGGTTGCTTTATATATTATTTATCGATAATATGGGACCTTTGCAATAGAAAGGAAAAATAAAAAATTGAGTTAATGCATATAAAAGTAAAAATGATTTTTTCCCGGTAGTTTCTCCCTTTATTTAACTATATTTGTTTAATAGGTGGGAAATTTGCTAGGAAAATCAATTCTGAGAATTTTTTTTTTTTTTTTTAATAAACATCTATTGCGTTTTAATCCAAAACTAAATCTTAATTTTAAAAATTCTGTGAACCAGATTTTCCTAGCAATTCCCCCAGGTCTACGCTAATATACAGTAAATAGCAGTCAGTTTCTGAAATCAATAACCGGACTGGCGCTTTGATCCATGTCCATGCGGCTTATACTTGTAATTGAGGCTTCATACTTTTAATGTATGTTACCTGTGGCTTAAAATTGGGCAAATATTAAATACCTGCAAAAATTTTAAAATTTGAAGGCTTTGTTGTATTCAGAAAAAAATCATAAAAACGTTCACATTTTTAGTATGGCCGCATTTTTTGGTAAAACTTGCGCCATCTGCAAAAAACATTCTTATGCCCACGTTAAAAAAAAATTCAATTGTCTCATATACATATAGGTATTAGACATGTTCGTTATGAATTCCCTGTTAAAGGATTACTGTTCATTCATGAATGGCTTAGTCACCTAAACCTAAGCAAAGGATATTCCGAAATCTTTTTTTTTAAAAAAAAAACCTGTTTCTTGATATAAATATTTGTAAACTCGGCAACTTTGCATTGGGTGAAATTGATATGTATCGCGATTTCAAAAAAACTCTATTAATGAAAACGTTAAATGTCAAATGTCAAAATTCTCATCAGGTGTAACATCATCATCAAAACCATCGTTGTTTTATTTATTCGGAGAATTTCTTTTAAAACAAAATTTATTGCATATAGGAAGGATCCTATTGGTATAAGATCAGTCTGATTTTTAAAAATTGTGAAAAATAAAACGACGACTAAAATAGATTTGCCATATAATAAATTTTTATTTTTTTGCCAATTAAACAAAATCTAAGCTTTTTATTTTTTTAAAAAAAAAATTAATACTTTATATATCATAAGAAAAGAAAAAAAAAATTTTTTTTTCCAACTCTAATTTATGAACAAAGTAATTCTCATTCTGAGACCATAGCTGTTAGCAGTAGTAATGGAAGGGAATGCCTTAAATATAGATCAAGAAAATTCGAAGATCGCTGGTGCTGCAGCTGATTTGTTTAGCGATTCTATTGAACAGAGTCCATTCGATAGTCTTGTTAACGAACAGACAACTGATTATTCTTCACAATACGATTATAATAATAATTCAAATGCTTTGCTGGAAGATACTCGTGGCACTGTAACTAATTCAATGGATACTCAACTGTATGGTGGTTTTGATTATAATTATCATGATGGACAGTACGTTAACGGCACTACGGAGAGTATAACTTCTCCTCAAGCAAATACTACTCAGAACCAACATGACTATACAGGATATGGTTATGATTCTGCTTTGTATACCAATGGTCAAGATAATTCGCAATATTACTATTCACAACAACAGCAATATTATGATCCTAGTCAACAACAATACGATCCTTATTATTATCAAAACTACAATTCAAACCAAAATTATGACCCGAATCAAACGTATAATCTTAATCAATCATTCGATCCTAGTCAAACATACGATCAAAGTCATTATGATCCTTCTTTATATAACCAAGATCCTTCGGCGTATTATCAATATACTCAACAATCGTCAGAAATTAATGATTCAAATGAAGCCAATTTACAAAATCTTACACTTGACCCAAATTCGAATGAAGAACTTTCAAATTCAAAACAAAAGGAAGGAAGTGAGGATACATTTAATAATAGTAATTGTATCCTAAATAATACGGATACGAATAGTGTGGGAGAAGTAGGTTCAAAGTATGATGGATCAAAACAGAACATTGATGACGCGTTAAAGCTGGATGCAATACCGTCAACTACTTTTTCCGATACCTTTAAGAAAGATAATGAAAATTGCGACTTTTCATCAGATAGTGACAAAAAAATTAATGAAAATAAGGAAACGTTCGAGCATTCTCCAACTATTAATCAAGACATTGATCCTGATTTCAAATTTCTAACTATATCATCATCGAGCGATTTGACGTCATCACATACTGATAATGTTGCCGCAGTTACTTTGGTCGAAACAATAGAAACAAATCAAGAGAGTTCACAATACACAGTTACTTCTTCGGAAAAGAAAAATGATTCGCGTTCTAATTCTCCTGCAGAAAAAGATAATGAATTGAATGGATTGGAAAATGAGGACCAAGAAGTAAATATCACTTACGGAGATGATCGTGATATTTTTGAATATCAGCCTCAAGAGTTGGAGAACCACCCGAAATCAGAAATTTCACAGGTTGAAAAATCTGTTTCATCATTAATAGATGAGTCAAAAATAATGTCTGAAGTTTCTGCTCCCGGCGAGACAGAAGAAATTAATGATAAACCGAATGATGAACCAACTAAATTGGATGACTTGGACGATTTAGTTCTAGGGTCAGCTAATAAATCTGGTAATTTAGAATTAGAAGGAGGTAACATTCATGAAGGACACTCAATTCCATCGCAAAATAACGATACGACAGCTCTAAATTCTTCGTATCAGTATGAATATTCTGGTCAATATAATTATGGATACGAGCAATGGGGTTCAAATGATGAAAATTACCAGTCTCAAGGGTATGATCCTAATCATCCCTCGGGAGATGTTACTCATACGGAACAATTGAATTATCAGTATCAAGGATATGATGCTAGTCAAACTACAAGAGACACTACGACGGAAACAGATCTAGCTAATTATCAATATAATGGATATGACTCAAATCAAACTGCAGCAGAACCTCCTATCACTGAAAAGGAACAGACTTCGTATCTATATTCTTCTTATGACACGAGTCAAGCAGGGGTTGATAATATAGTTGCTACAAATTATCAATATCCTGCATATGAAGCTAATCAATCCACTGCGATAGAAACTGTCGCCGAAGCAGATCAATCGAATTATCAATATCAAGGCTACAATATGGGAGAAATTGCTGTTAATGGTAAAGATGGACAGGGACAATTTAATTATCCGTATCAAGGACATGAGACTGGTCAAGTTACAATAGATAATAAGGATGAAACAAGTCAAGCTAATTACCAATATACAACTTATGATGCAAGTCAAGTTAATCATCAAACGACAAGTCAAGCCACAGTAAACAACAAGGTTGAAACAGATCAATCTAATTATTATCAAGGATATCAGCATGTTAATTCTCATCCTTCACAAACTTCTCCTCCCCCAATGTCTCCATCTCCAAAAGGATCAAACTTAATATCCTGCCCATATCCTCAATGCGGGGGAGAGAATAAAAGTACCGCTAAATTTTGTTCAGATTGCGGGATGCAGATTAACAATAATGTAATGCGCTCAATAACTCCCGCAATTAGCATCTCTGAAGTGACGAACACTGAGATTTATAATAATGATGCGAATTCCAGACAATATTCAGCATCATCATTTGCTTCATACGGAAATCATGACACACAATACCTAGAAAGAGATTCTGGTGTCGTATTGGATCCACTACAGTCAGACTATCAACAACATTATGTTACTGATGATGCGAATGCTGCAAATGACCCTTTGGGAAGAACTAAGGGGTGTCGCCCTATTATTGCTTTAGGATTTGGAGGAAAAATGTTTACAATGTTTCCAAGAACAGTTCAACGTTTCACTAGCGCAGATCAAAGTACACCCATTACTAAATATGCACCTGGTGTCTTTACTGTTCGTGTTCTCAATGACATCATTCCTGTATCAGATATTACCGATTTTCCAGGTCCTTTGCTTATGGATAATAACAGAGGTGGAGTAAAGGCTAAAAGGAAGAGTGTATTAAAATATTTAAATGATCAAATTCAAGTAACTGAAACGAAGTTAAATTCCTTTAACGGAGAAGAAATTGAAAAGAGGGAATTAGAAATGATTATTATTATCTGGAATTTATTTAAAATAATGTTCGAGAATGACGGCACGTTAATTGGAAGGTTAGTTTTAAATTATATTTCTATTAATTTTTCAATAACAGCTACAATATTTAAAATTATCCCCCAATTATTATGCGGACAATTAAATTAGTTCAAAAGTTGAAGAACTTGTTCGTAACATTTTAGTTCCTTTCGCATCTAAAAGTGACAATGATGAAGTAAACTTTACAGTTCCTGCAGACACAAGTTTTGAAGGTTTATCACAAATATCAGAATTGACTTCACTCACGTATTCTGTTTCACCAAAAGCTGTCGACAAATTACAAGAGCTATTGTTGAAAGGAGATCGTGTTGTAGCAATAAATCATGCAATGAATGAAAATTTGTGGGCTCATGCATTGATAATCGCCAGTTGTGTCAATAAGGATTTATGGAAAGAGGTTGTTACTGGATTTATAAAACATGAAATGGGAACTCAAAAAGGAGATTCCTCAGAATCAAATGGAAGAGAAAGTTTAAGAGTATTATATTCTTTGTTTGCCGGTCAAGGACAGAATGCAGGTATGTAAATTATATTAATAAGTTTGAACATAATTATTTTTTTTTCCTTTGTAATTTAATATTACAACTATTCAATGTAGCTAAGGAATTCCTTCCGTATAGTAATTTACTTAATCGAGTTACTCAATCACCAGTTTCAGCAATGATTCCTACGTTACCAAATGCATCACATTATAACTCTAATACCAATCCACCATATGTTGGTGCTTCAATATCAACGTCACACTCATCCTCATCAGCTCGTGATGTTCCACTTGATAGTTTAGTAAAATGGCGAGAAACAATAGCAATGATCTTGGCTAATCGAGCACCGGGAGATAATCAGGTGATTTCTGCTCTCGGAGACATGCTTAAAGAATTTGGATGGATTCATGCTGCACACATCTGGTACGTTATTATATTCGAGGATTGAAAATATAAAAATTTTAGATGATTGTATTTATTCGTAAAATTTTATAGTTATATGTTATCCCCAAAGGTGTCTATTATATCTGGCTTTGATGCACCGAATGTTCGTTTCACACTACTGGGCACGGACTCACATAATCTGCCCATAAGTAATTTTCATAATTGGCAGTCTTTGCGTATGACCGAGATATATGAATTTGGACTTTCATTGAATAATAATGATGGTGGATTACCTCACTTACAGGCATATAAACTACTTTATGCATGGTGGTTGGCCGATTGTGGTTATTTGAATGAATCAAGAAGGTATATATTATTAACATTTTTCATCATCATTATTCATTTACGAAATCTACTAATTGTATTTTCTAAATCATAGATATTGCGAATCTATTGCAAACATTGTAAAGGTTTATACTAAAGGTTCACCGTATTTCCACGGCTGTTTCTTACAAAAATTAAAGGATTTAACACAAAGGTTGCTTGAACATGGAGGAAATAATAATGGGTAAGTGAGCTTGATATAATTAAATATAATGTACTCTTATTTTTTTATTCGTATCGCAATTTCAAAATTCATTAAGTTAATGATCAATTAGCGTAAATGAAACATCATCATGGCTTTTTGCAAAAAAAATGCCAAAAGCGACTCTTGACTCCTTATGGGGTTCATTAGAAGGAAAATTCCACAAGTTTGTAGCAGGAGATACGGTTGATGAAAATGTGAAGAAGACATCATTTTCAAATACTAAAGAAGCTGTCGGTCCATTTTCGCATTTCAGTTCCATCACCCATCCTACTTCTGAAGTGCCATCACGTAGTGCGTCTGCTTCAGATTTTCGTTCTATTCCTAATCCTACTATAGATACGCGTCGTGCAACTACTCCAAACGCGATAATTTACAAACAATTAAATGGAAATCAGCGAAGGTTGTCAACTCCTACTGGTGTACAGTATGAATCGGTCAATAGTGGTTATAATAATAATTTTAGTCCTACCACATCTGATGGACAAAATACGATGTCTTCCGTTCCTGAAGGAGGTTCTATTGGAACATCTCCGACGGATATTAAAAATGAGCATAATAATTGGCAATCTTTTAATATTGACCAGCAATATAACGGAAATTCAAATGAACAACTTTCAACGCAATCATACAACTATTCATTATCGGACAGTTCTAATGCCGAAGCAAATAACAAACAAAAGCAACAAGCCATGTATCCATATTATCAACCATTAGGAAATAATACATCTACATACACCAATGATTCTGCATGGTGGAGTAATCCAAATGCTGATTCCACTGTAGATCAAAATGTAGACCAAGCACAAACTGATGTTGTTGGCGGAAGTGAATTCATATCTCCAATGGACAGTAGTGGTTTCACATCATTTTTCTCTTCTCCGGCTCCTGCGCCTGTAGTTGCAACTACGAAAGATTCTTCAAATCATAATAATGATTTTGATAATGTCGATGATGATTTGGGTTTAGGAAACAATGCATTCGGAACCAAGAATTATGATCAAACCGCAGATTCTGAAGTTGACACAAAAACTTATGATAGTGAAACCAATAATAATACTCCTCAAACAGAGAAACATGAAGCAAAACAGGAGGATAGAAAAGGTAACGATATTTTGTCTGATGAATTTGTTATATCTTCTATTTTTATCCCTTGATAGATCATAAATTTATTATTTTCTTCAGAAGAAAAGTCGGGATGGTTTGGAAGATGGTTTGGAAAGAAAGAAAGTGGAGGAAAAACTGCTAATTTAGGGGAAGAAAGCTCGTTTTACTTTGACCCAGTTCAAAAGAGATGGATTAATAAGAAGGTAACTATCTAATATAACTATACTCATCAATTTATATGTTACACGTCATAAATTATTTTTCGCGAACATCTAGGCTGGTTCTGAGACGAGTAGTGCTTCGACGCCTCTGCCGCCGCCTCCACAACGTTCGAAAACAACTTCACCACAACGTTCACAATCGTTGATGAGTTCAAATAGCAGGCAGTCATTACCACCTATAGATAATAAAAATTTTACAGGTCCGCCAATTAGTGCTACTCCGCCTCCACCAAATAAGGGCGGTCGTGCATCAAGCGCAAGCATGAAAAAAAGAGCTCGATCAAAGTATAAATCTTTATCATTTGTTTAAAGAATATTTTCCAATTTGAAATGAATATTGCACATATTAACACACATATATATTTATTTTTTTTCCTTAGATATGTAGATATAATGAATCAACCACCACCTAATTAAAATGGTAGTAATATTAAATGCTGTATTTCGTAGGAGTTCATGTTACAAATTAACATGGGTTGTATGATATTTTTTATTATTTTATTATCAATGTATATTTATCATAACTTAAAACAAGAAATTTTATCTGATTTGATTCTTTTTCTTTATATATTATTATAATTTATATAGTTCAGCGATTTTATTCTTTTTCTTTATTTTATTATTATAATAATAATTCGGTTTTGATTTATTTATTAATCTTGTTATATTTTCATCTGTTCAAACAATAAATAATTCAACCATATTAGTATTTTATCATTGAAGAAGATCATTGAGTTGTATTTCCTTAAATGAAAGTATGGCCTTAGTATCTCGAAAATTTGAGGTTAAAGGTATCAGAAAAGTTATCATAACATGAAATTACATTTCTTAAGAAACATGTTGTTTCATATTTATGTTATACATCTAACAATTATCATTCATCTTTAATTTTCTAATAGATTACAAAATTTAATAAATTGAGATTTTTATTGCATTTTAGTTATTATAATAGTTAAAAAATTCTTCAAATCTGATTTTTTTTTCCCTATATTTAGTAAACAATTATATCACTTATTAAATATAACTATTAAATTATTTTTATATGATATGGAAAATTTGCTAGAAAAATAGGTAAAAAAAATTTTTTTATTATTATTATTATTATTAAAATATCTGAATTATTTATATATATATTATATATGTTTTTATTTTAAGATTTACCTTTTTACATTAAGTTTATTAAAACCAATTCATTAGTTATATTATTTAGAAAATTACTATTTAAAAATAGATTCTTACAACTCTTTTAAAAAATGCTGAAGTAATTTAAACCTATTAGATTATATTAGCATAATACAAAACAATTATATATTGCTTAAACTTTAAAAATTATTATATCTTAAAATAATATATATTTAAATAATATTATATCAATATCATTAAAATCAAACCTGATCTTTAATTTTAATAATAGCTAGTGATACCTGACTAAACTTTTTTTTGAAAAATTGTAATTTCGTCAAAAGTTTCGTCTCTTTAATATTTTTATATCAATAAATATAAAATTATTATATTTTTTAATGTATTTTAATTTAAGGAATTTAGATCAAGTTAAATATAATTTCGGCAATTAAGTAAAATAATTTCGTCATTAATAAAAAACTAGTTTCGTCATTTCAGTTTTGTCAATTTTGTCATATTAAGAAAAGTAATTTCGTCAGGTATTACTAATAATAGCTTATAATAATTAGACTAATATTAATATTGCTATATATAAAAGTTTAAGATTATTTAAAATCTGCAAAATAATTTGTGATTTATATATATTTTAATTAATCAAATAAAATTGGTATTTGTATTACATCATAATTAATAAATAAATTATTATATATTTTTTATTTTGTTCTTTCATTCTGCATTTTATGAAATTGAAAACATTAACTTTTAAATATAAAAAAATTATCAGTTTTTATGAATTTAGTAATTCAAAAAAATCATAACATAAAAATAGGTTATGATTAAACTACAATTTATATTATTATAAAATAAGCATTAAGATTATTGCTAATAAAATAAATATTCAAAAAATTAATTAAATATAATAAATATTATTTTAAATATATTATTATTAATAATTAATTATGAACATTTTTAATAAAACCATTGAAAATAAAGTAAGTAATATATATATTATATAAATAAGCTAAGATATTATAGTTATATAGCTCTTGAAAAATTATTAGTTAGTAAATTTAATCAAAAAATTTACTTAAATTAGATTCAGAAAAAGCATTTATAGATAATAAATAAATGGAAAAAATTGTCAAAAATGATGAATCTAGATTACTTTATTTCAAAATATTAAAAAATTTATATTTAATATCTTTTAAAGAAAGATATAATATTAGCTTTTTTTTCTTCAACTATTAAATATAATAGAAGTAAATTATGATATTGTTATCTTATGATATTAATGACTGAAAATTAGTATTAACATAAGATTAACAAAAGATTTAGCTTTAAGACTTTATAATACGATTTATAGAGAGCGTCTGAAGGTTTACAATCCAAGAGTATTTTAGAGACAAATGTAATTATAGGTAAACGATAGAGGTTTATTAAATAAAATAATTATTACAAGTGTATTTGTTAGCATACAAATGTGTTTAGTATTTATCTTATTAGCGATTAAGGTTGCTGAACGAAATCAAGAGTTTAGACAGACGTCTAAATGGTAAAAGTAAAACTTGGTTAAATTATATTA